TATTATATGTGTGGTTATAATATCCTTTTTATATTTGAAAGTGTTATTTGTTTAATTCATTTAGGGTTACCTTTTGTTTTACTATTTTGAAAAAAAAATGTATTAGTATCATTTGTTGTATTAGTCTGATTTAGATGAAGACTGTGGGAACCCAGAACAATGAGGTAAAATATGAGACCAGCAAGCAGTGAGGTGGGACTTTGTTTTTTTTACTGAAGCAGTTGGAGACAAATATTTTTGTTTGTTTGGAAAAATGAGATTAGACCATTAAAGGAAATCTTCAATGGTCTTCTTATGTCCGTGTTAAAAAACAACCCCACTGCAGTAGCAGCTTTTAAACCTTTTAAATAGTTTGAATTAAAGGGAAATTGCCACTGTTTTGCAGAAACAGAAAACAGCCTTGCCCGCTGCAGGACTGCTGACACTAGGTGGAGCTTGGAACAAAGCTTGGATCATCTGAGCTCAGATCTGATGGATAGTTGAGCTCAGGACATCACCTGGTGCCACTAAATGAGCTGGAACTGAAGTTCAGCTGAGAAAGATATTTTTCTCTTTTGCAGCTGTGCGCCTGCTTTCATTTTGAACACAAATATGATTTTTTTTTGTTTTTTGTTTTGTTTTAGGACATTATTATTCCAATATTTGCCTCAGAAACAAAGCATTGAAACGTTATAACTAAATGTAACTTTACTACCTGAGTTAGCCTTCGGCCTGTCCTCCTCTGCCTCAGCTGTTTTGTCTCATTTCACTATGAAGCCCACTGCAGCTTTCATACTCGGGATCCACTTGCTCCTCCTTGATGGCCATCCTTTTCGCATCCTCTGCAGCACAAAGACATCAGTGATGTTTTAGAAACTCCCCACACACAGGCGTACCAGCCGAAGGCCGTACCTTTAGCTAGCTGCAGGTCGAAGGAGTACTGCGTCTCCACCACCTCGCGGCCCGGGGCCAGGCCTTTCATCTGGTCCCGCAGCTCCTTCAGCTTGATGTAGAAGTGCACCTTGTCCTGGGCGCGGGGAAACTGGGCGCAGCGGGGGCTCGACGATGGCATCAGGAAGCAAACCTGCGACGTGGAGTTGAGGACAGAGAGATTGTTTATGGAGCCGATTTAAAGAAGAATGTTTTGATTTTCCCCACATACCGTTTCTGTTTCTGGGATTCTATAAGGCTGCAGACCAAAATCCAGATTCTTGGCTTTTACACCAAAGATTTCTTTGCAGAAGATTTCATAAATACCTGAAAAAAGACAAGAAGTTACAAGAACAAACTGCTACCTGTTATTTAAGCTATTGAATTGATTAAAACAGGTTACCTTTGCCATTAAATGCTGCTATCAGTGGTTTATATTTCTGTAGCTTTTCCAGTAACTGTCGACCTCCTTCACGAATTTCCTTACTGACACACAAACCAAAAAAATAAAAAAATAAATAAAAACAAAAATTAAAGAATAATTTGAATGCAAATCGTTTTCCTCATTAATTCTTTATTAGTAATGCTGAACACCAGGCAGTTGTGGATTTTTGCTCAAATAAAGCAGCTGTTTTTGTAACCTGGCAAAACTGAGCACTCCCATCCGACCGAATTCTACTTTTACTTAAAAGTGACGTCGTCAGAAAACTAATGCCTAATTCTTGTTTCCTCACTTAGAGAGGTCCTTGCTGCCGGGGGTGGTCCTCTCCACCATGTTGGTGAAGCCGATGCTGTAGCTCTCCGGCAGGTTCTGGTCGTGCATGTAGTTCAGCTGCTGCTCGGTCAGACCAGAGAGGAACAAACATTTCCCTGAAACACACACAGAGAAAAAAAAACACTTTCAATCCAACGAGTCTAAAAAAAAAAAAAAAAA